CACGAAGTAGTCTGAAGCTCATGTAAGAATTACAGGTCCTGTCTTCAATGCTTGATAAATGTTTGTGGACTAACCTAGTATGCAATTTTTTTCATTCTTTTTTTATGCAGTTCAGGCTGGCCTTGAGCTTACTTTGTAGCTCAGGCTGGTCTCAAACTCACTATGATCCTCCTGCCTCAGCCTCCCGAGTGCTGGGATTACAGGCGTGCACCGACACGCCAGGGCCCTAGTATGCAATTAAACTGCCATTTAAAACTACTCTCAACCAGGCACTATTGTGCATGGATGTAATCACACCACTTTAGGAGGCTGAGGCAGGAGGATCACAGGTTTGAGCCCAGCCTGTGCAACTTAATGAAACCCTGTCTCAAAACTTAGTGGAAAAAAACAGCTGCAGTTGTAGCTCAGTTCAGAGGCCCTGCTTTCAATCCTCTGTATGACACAAAAACAACTCAAAACCCCGAACAAAAAACATTCTTGGCTCATCAGCCCTATAAAGCAACAGGCAATATTTGGCCCTTGGGATGTCCTCTGTAGACCTGGCTGTATTTGTCACTTCCTGTCAAAGAGACCCAATACCTGACACCCGCATTTTAAAGTTTATTTTGGTGCTGAGGATTGAACCCTGGGTCTTGTGCATGCTAAGTAATGCTCTGGCTGCTGAGCTAGACCTCCAGCCCTTACAGCTTTATTTTGGCTCATGGTTCTTAGAAGGTTCAGTTCATGGCTGTTTTCCCCCAGGCAGAAATGGCACGGAAGAGGAAAACTGCTCACCCCATGGCGGCTAGGAAGCAGAGAAGGGAGGAGATGCAAGAAACCACCCTTCCAGGTCACCCACCAGGGACTGCCTCCAATGGTCCGCTCCTAACAGCACACCCAGCCCTGAGCTCATTATGGATGAGCTCATTGACGAGTACAGCACCCCCTGATCTGAACACCCAAGGCTGTTGGGGGCTGCTCTGATCTACCTCGTAATACTATCACAGGGTTGTGGGATCCTGCTTGTTCAATAGGGGTCCTTCTGGGAGTTTCCTCTCAGCACTAGGCACGAGGCACATCAGGACTCTGTTGCTTGGGCTCACAAGTCTTGCTTGAGCTTCTGCTGGACAGTTTCACTCTTCTGCCACTATCACGATGGGAATTCCCACCATATGACTGACGCCCCTCAGACCTAAAAGCTACTCCAGCCTCGGGAGATGGCCAAGAGTGCTGCCAGTGTAGTTTTCCTTTTCATAAGCAAACTTTTTTATTTTTTTGGAGTTTCACTATGTATCCAAGGCTGGCATTGAACTAGTGATCTTCCTGCCTCAGCCTCCTGAATGCTGGGATTATAGCAAGCATAATAGACGTGTGCCACTGTACCCGGCAGCAGTCGTTTTAGTCTTACAACTGACTCATGCTCCCAGGGAAAAGGTGGTTGCAAGCACAGGTTCATCTTTTTCCAACTTCATCTGTCTCAGGTCTCCAGTCTTAGGCCTTTAGTCCTCACCATTTCAGCAGTTCACTAATGTTTTACATCTTTTTGTTTTGTCTTTCTGAGACAGGGTCTTGCTATGCAGTCCAGGCTGGGCTTGAGCTCACTTTGTAGCCCAGGATGGTCTCAAACTCGCAATGATCCTCCTGCCTCAGCCTCCACAGTGCTGGGATTATAGGCGTGTGCCACCACATCCGGCTCACTAATGTTTTAAGTAGACAATTTTTTTTGTACTGGGAATTGAACTCAGGACCTTGAGCTTGCCAGGCAGGCACTGTGCCACTAAGCTATATCCCCGGCCCTCAGCTTTTCAATTTCTTTTTTTCTGTTTTTTTGACACAGGGTCTCTCTAGGTCAGGTTGGCCTTGAACTCACAAGGATCCTCCTGCCTCAGCCTCCCAAGTGCAGGGATTACAGAAGTGTGCCACCATGCCTGGCTTGATTTATAATTGAGATGAAAAAAGGGAGGGGGCACCTACAGTGGTGCAAGCTGATTTATAAGCCTTTCTCTTGCAGTATTTCAAGAATATTATTCTGACTGATGAAACCGTCACTAACTCAAAAACGTAAAAGACCATGTAGTGAAGTCGTCCTGCCAGTCCTTCCTCCCAACCCCTAGTTTCTCTCTCTTGTACGTTATAATTACTTCCCTTTCAGAAGATATTTCATGGAAATACACATTTCTCAAATGACTGCACATTTACATGTATCTTACATTTTTTATTTAACTCATTCTTTTCATATAAGGTTTTAAGACAGTTGTACAGTATTTTATTATACCATCATTTAATGGGCATTATGGACAGCATCTACTGCAGGTTTATAATCTGTTTATTACAATGTAGTAACAAGATCGTGTGCATGTCACTCTGCAAAAACATGAAGACAGTGCTAGCGGATTCCGGGGGATAAAATCACCAAGGTTTGCCTCCACGAGGATCTTTAAGTTTGTATTCACATCAAGTGACACATAACAGTATTTCCCCCTTTTGGAGATTAATAAACACATCTCTCTCACACACACACACAACCCTTCACCTTTACTAATGTGAAGGATGGGAAAACAGATTTACACCATATTATGTATCTTTAAGAGCTATTTATATTTCCTGAGGCTATTTCTTGGGAATACAATCTTTGCTAATTTTCTTTCTTTCTTTCCTTCTTTCTTTCGTCTTTTTGAGACAGGGTCTCGCTATGCACTGCAGGTTGGCCTTGAGCTCACTTTGTACCCCAGGCTGGTCTTGAGCTCCCAACGATTCTCCTGCCTCAGCCTCCCGCGTGCTGGGATTATAGGGGTGCATCACCATGCACAGCTCAGGCTCAGCCTTTGCTAATTTTCTGAGTTCATCTTTTTCAGATGGAACCAGCACAAGCAACACACATGCAAATTAGATCTCTGGGAAGAACTGCAACTGTATCTTCCTGCTGCTTGCCACGCATTCCAGCTTTTTCCTATGGTAATTTTGTCATGCAGAATCTTTAATTTCTTTTTTTTTTGTTTTTTTGTCTTTTTTGAGACAGGGTCTTGCTGTGTAGTTCAGGCTGGCCTCGAGCTCACTTTGTAGCCCAGGCTGGTCTCGACCTTGCACCGATCCTCCTGCCTCAGCCTCCTGAGTGCTGGGATTACAGGCGTGCGCCACCATGTCCGGCAGAATCTTTAATTTCTACAAAGGCAATTTTTATCTAACATATATACTCATAATAATTTTATTCTTTTAATTTTCATATTCTCAACATCTGTAACCTTTGGTACTCCTTGAGAAGCATTCTCATATCCTCTCCACAAGAACAAGGGGAAAAAGTAACCATACATTCTACTGACTCGCACAAAACATTTATTATTTTTAACAAAACCACATACATGGTAGAAAAAGCACAAAGTGAAGGAGAAATTAAAATTTATCTCAAAACCAACTTCTGTCAGGAAGACATCTTCACAGGTAAGTGAAGAACAGAAATACAGAAATCTTAAACATATCACATGATGGGCTGTTTGGGTTTTCCTTCTTGATTTGGACTATTCCAAGGAGATTTAATTAGATAACCTTTAATTTGAGCAGTTCCAACAGGGCCCGCCCTAAATGTTAGGTGAATTTGCTCTTAGAAAAATACTCATTTCATAAAACAGATTTTTTGTCTTTTTGAGACAGGGTCTTGCTATGCAGTTCAGACTGGCCTTGAGCTCACCTTGTAGCCCAGGCTGATCTTGAACTCACAATGATCCTCCAGCCTCAGCCTCCCGAGTGCTGGTATTACAGGCATGTGCCACCACCCCAGCTCATAAGACAGATTTGAATTTGTTTCTGACTATATCTCATTTCAAACAATCATTACTCAGAGCACAATTTTTTAGGGGGAGAAACATCAAACTATATTTAACATTAGCCAAAGAATTCTGCCTATAATCACTGAATCTGTATTCATGTGGATGCCACAAAGTATGTAAAGATGAACAGAATTTATAAAATTTGAAGGAAAAAACTTTTAGGGCATCTAAAAATATTGGCAAATCACTTCTTGGCCTTTTGGCTAAGATCAAGTATAAAAATATTGGCAAATTAAAGCTAACATTCATGCTGGTAGTTTACTGTATGCTTCCACTAAATGGATGGCCAGACGCCAACAGAAACGTTATAATTATTATTTGTTTGAAGGTTGTTTATATATATTAATGAAACAAAAAGATCAATAGCTTCTAAGTTATACGTCACAAAATAAAAATCATTGTTTTCTGATTTAACTTTCACAAGTAAAACAGGGTGCCGGGTGTGGGGCGCATGCCTGTAATCCCAGCATTCGGGAGGCTGAGGCAGTCCTGAGTTCAAGGCCAGCCTGTACTACCGTAGTGAGAATCTACCTCAAAAAAAAAGAGAGCAAGAGAAGACAGGGCAAAACCCAAGTATCGTACTTGCCATTTCTGCTCATAAACACAAATAAAAGCCAGTATACAGATAAGGAAATAAATACATGGTTGCTTCAGATTCCAAAATACACACTTTTGTGCGGTAAACTCTTCTACAGTCAATTCCCAGTTTTGCTGGAACAGCAGATTAACAGACGTATGTATGTGTTCCCCAAAACTAGTAACACAATCTGGTTTGGGTTTTTCAGACAGGGTCTCACTATGTGCTTCCGGCTGCCTTCAAACCCACTGTGGAGCTCAGTCTGGCCTTGAACTCCAGATGATCCTCCTGTCTCAGCCTTGGGAGTGCTGGGGCTATGGACATGAGCCACCTACTAATTCTGATTCTGATGCCAAATGCTATAGTGTGAAAAGCACAATGTTCTTGGAGTCATTTAGCAAAGAAGGGCTGAGGCAGAATGCTCCATCAGAAGACAGCCGTTCCTTCGTGCCGGCCCCGGCCGATCCACTCCATCAGCCCCATCCCAGCTCGTAACTCCTTGCCCATAAAGAATCTACTTTCGTTGCTGTCAACTGAATTTCAATTTTCTAGAAAACTGATTTAACACTGGTCCTTATCCATTTTAAGGGAAATGCTGTAACACTCAACATTTACTTAAATCAGACAGAAAGTAACTGCTTTAATGTGACAGCAGATGCATTTCAAGTGCTCTGTAAAAATTAGGGAAGCAGTGAGAATCCAGACCATAACTCCTACACGGACCCCTGAAGAACTTGCGACAGCATGATCCTGCGTGGATTACTCCTCACAAAGAAGGTGAACAAGGCGCATAAAGTAGCTACTTCTTGCAAAGAGAATGGCACGTGAAGCCTCAGGCCTGGCCAAGGAGTTCTTCCATCCAGAAGGACGGTCAAACTTGCTACCTCGGCACCAGCGGCTGAGAGGGGCCCTGCCCACCGCTGAGCTCTACAGACACATCTGCCCGCCCTTTCACTCAAGACGGTGAGCGTGTCTGCAGGCAGGACCCAAGGACAGGTCCGTGAGACCAGGCAGAGAAGCGCTGCCACCCCGGCTTTCCTGGACCCGAACGCTCTTTACTCGGCTCTACTTCGCACACCTGGGAAACATCTCGAAGATGCTCTTCTGTGAGTTGCGAGGCTGCAGGGACTGAGCACTTTTAGGAACACTGCGGTGATCTCTGCGGGGCTTTGGCATCTTTCTTTCGTTAACCGAAGGCCTCGGCTGGTCTTTAAGAGGTCGCCAGTTCTCATCTCTCAAGCCTCTCCGAGCTCTAGGCTGCCCGGTGGCAGTCTGCCTTTTGAGGCTGCGGTCTTCGGCCGCCTCCGTGTGCCCGGAAGCTGCCGTCCGTCCGCTTCGCAGTCTGTTTGGGGCCGCGGGTGCTGCGCGGAGCTCATACTCCTCCCGGGAGCCTTTCTGCCGGCTGGGCTTCCTTTGTTCTTTTTCTTCCTCCTCCTGCAGCTGCAGAGCTAATAACCTGTCCTGTTCCTCCTGCTTATGCCGCTCAAAAAGTAGATGCTCCAAATCTATCAGTTTTTGGGTAAAATTTGTTTCCGTTTCCTCTTCATCTGAGGACGCTTTGGAAAACGTTTTCCTCCTTTTTGCAGAGCAGCAGGGCTCCCCGGCGGCCTCAGATGCAGGCTCCTGGTGTTTTCTGGAAACATCTTTACCGAGCAGCAGACCAGACTCCTCATTTTCTGCCTCGACTGTGCCGTCTGCAGTCACCTGGGCCACACCCGGCCCAGCGCCCCCAGGCCCTGCTTTGTCCCCAGGCTCTGCAGAAGCTGCTTTAGAGGCGGGAACTTTGGCCTTTGGTCCCGCATGATTTGTACCACACCCCTCATCATGACTGTCCGGCCTTGTCTTGACCTGGCCTTCAAGGCACCGATCTGTATCGTAGGCACAGAGCCACGGCATAGCTGAGTCCATCGAAGACCGTGCACTTGGTTCCTGAACCTCAAGGCACACTTGTGGAGAAAGCGTTGGCATATCTTCAGCTTCCACGTCTTGCCACACAGGGCTCTTGGCATCACTACTACCAACTTCCTGTAGAAAAAATATGCATCAAATCATAATCTATAAATCAGATGCCATAGGCAAATAGTCACTAGACATTACGAGGTGGTACCAATAAGGTCTCTTCTCTTCTTTTGGCAGGGGACATTGCTGGGAATTGAACTCAGGGCTACTTGCACAACGTAGGCAAACACCCTACCTCTCAGCTGAACCCCCCAGGGCTTGCTTTCTTAATAGCACCGTTGCTGGTGTGGTGGTGCAAGCCTGAAATCCCAGCACTGGGAGGCTGAGGTAGGAGGACTGCTGAGAATTTGAGGCCAGCCTGGATGCTACATAGTTCAAAACTAGCCTGAATTACCTAGCGAAACCTTGTCTCAAAAACCAAAAAAAACAGAAACAGAAAAAAAAGAAAAAAACCCCACCACTATCCTATGTGTTGATTTACTTTAAAACACGCATTCCCATGCAGACCTACAGATTAATTCCACAAACTGGATTCTACATATGGCCAAACAGCTGGCACGAGAACCTGAAATCCTTTACTTCACAATCTTACAAACTTGTAGTCCAAGGGTTTTTTACCCCTTTCTGTGCTCTGGATCTTCCTTTTGGCATTCTGGGGAGATTTCTAGACAAAGCTTTTCTGACAATGTTTTTAAATACAAAAATTAAGATACATGTCCTCACAAGGGGAATAATTTATAGCATAATACAATATTAAAATGTTAAACCACATATGCATATACTAGTATATTAAATAAGATCTGTCTGAGCTGGAGATGGTACACACCTGGAATCCCAGCATTTGGGAGGCTGAGGCAGCAGGACTGCTACAAATTTGAGGCCAGTCTGGGCTACATAGTGAGTTCAAGGCCAGCCTGAATTACACAGCAAGAACGGGTCTCCCAAATTAAAAAATAAACAAAACTTTCTTTTCCATGAATTACAATAGCATACATACATATTAAAACATTTCTGAAACGGACCACGTAATTTGTGGAAGGGCTTGATCTTCTCCCTACTTCCTATTTATCTCTTCTTTCTCTATATATGTACAGTTTCTCACATAAGAAACCATGTGGTACTGGAGCTTGTGTGTGTGACTTATTTCACTTAGTATGTTCTCAAACTGCATCCATTTACCTATGAATGCCTTGTTTATATCTTTTTTTGTGGCAATATGGTACTCCATTGTGTATAAATATATATATATATATATATATTTTAAATAGGGTTTCACTACGTATTGTAGGCTGGCCTCAAACTCACAGAGATCCTGCCTTGGCCTCCTGAGTGCTGGGATTATAGGCATGCACCCAGTGTATGCCTGGTTCGTATATTTTCCTTATCCATTCATCTGCTGATGGACACATGCAGTTTCCAAGATCTAGCTATTATAAACTATGCTGCTATAAACATGGATACGTATGTATCTCTGTAATATGATTTTTTTGTTGTTGTTGAGACAGGTCTCACTATGTAGTTCAGGCTGGCGTTGAACTTACAGAAATCCTCTTGCCTCAGCCTCCCAAGTGCTGTGATTACAGGCGTGTGCCATCTCATCTGGCTGCCTATGACTTTTTTTGGGGGGGCGTCTTTTTGAGACAGGGCCTTGCTGTGAAGTTCAGGCTGGCCTTGAATTCGCAAGAATCCTCTTGCCTAAGCCTCCTGAGTGTTAGGATTACAGGCGTGTACCACCACACCCGGCTTGTAATATGATTTTAAATCTTTCAGGAAGATACCTACAAGTGTTCCCGGATAACTGGGTCAAATGAAATTTCTATTTTTAGTTTTCTGAAGAATATCCACTCTGATATCAAATAAATATTACAAGAAATCTGTAATAAATGAAATGTGATGTGAAAACACAGGTTTTCTACCAGTGACAAAGGCATAGGCATTTTGTCAATGGCATCGGTTTGCTGTATACTTTCAAAATGAAAGGAAATACTAAAATTAGAAGTTAGCAAAACATAGTTCTTAGGTTAAGAACTCTTGCCTTAGCCAGTCTAATTTTCTTCTCACTTACGTCTTAGGTAAGTCAGGCTGCTCGTCTAGTTTTGCTCTGGATGTGACATTTGGGGTAGGAAAAGTATCCCAGCCCTAGCACACCTCTCTACTAATCCTGAGCACAAGGACAGCTGCCTTATAGAGCTGATAGTTGTGGTAGTTTTTCTTCAAGAGACGGTTTTGCTCTGCAGTTCAGGATGGCCTGAACTCACTTTGTAGCCTGGGCTGGCCTCAAACTCATGGTGATCCTCCTCGTCTCAGCCTCCTGAGTGCTGGGATTACAGGGGTGCACCCGGCTCATCGTGACAACATTGAGGGAAATTACACACACATTATTTGGGATACAGCAAGTGTTCATTAGATGCTGAGTGGTATAAAATCACCCAGCTGAATGGAAAAGACCCGTAAGCGAACAGCTAACCAAACTCCTCTGCGGGAAACTGACTTTGCCATGCATCCCTCTTCCCCAGCAAGCCTGTGAAGGGTAAAATGTCACCTGTGTCTCGCGCCACCACTCCAGCTTACAGTAACAAGGACCCTGACTGGTGCGCTGCGTCTGTGCCAGGCCTGTGAGTGCCCTATGAGCCTGAGGCTCTCTGATTTCCGACTCCGGCTGGGTGTGTTCCTGGGCTGTTCTCAGAAATGACCGACTAAAGGTGGCCTTGCTTCTAGCCAGTCACTCGGGAGCTCAGTGAACAGCGCACCTAACGCTGTCCTGCGTGCTCTGCTTCCCATCTCAGGGTTTTTGAAGAGATGCTGGTGCCAGGTGTAACCTACTCGGTTTGTGACTGAGCATCCAGGTCAGAGATCAGGAAACTATGCCCCACGGCCCAGCTCCAGGCTGCGGCAATCTCGGCAAGCTTTCCTGGAAGCCAGGCCACTCATTTGCTTATATATGGGCTGGAGGCTCCCGCACTTCAAGCGCATGACCGCATAGCTGTACTGACGGCAAAGACTAAATCGCTCCCCTGCCTGAGCGCAAAGGCTTGCTGAGTCCTAGCCTGGTGAGTCCAGTGACTGAGCCAGGGTGTTCCAGTACCCAGCATGCCTTAAAAAAAGGAACGATAGGCAGGAGTGACCTACAGCATTAACAACCCTCCCTAAGAACATCTTCGTCACCAACATACCTGAGAGACGGAGCTCCTCCTGACTTCCTGTCCCGCTTCAGACTGGGATGCTGACCCAAACTGAGACTTAGGTGACAAATACCTTCAAAAAAATTATCAAAGTTGGAACACTTTGAAAGACAGGTGGTATGTGGCCAATACAAGAAAGCCAGGTGACTGCCATGCCCAAGGATGCCTGCTGTCCTGGCCAGCTGATTTATCAGTGCGTTCCTTGCTCCCACGTAAACCTGGAGCAGGACAGGGCTGGGGTGTAGCTCAGGGGTAGAGCACTTGCCTAGCATGTGGGAAGCGCTGGGTTCAAACTCTTAGTGCTCAGGGAATAAAAAAGTTGAGTGTATTGACACCTTAGTTAAAAAATAAATAAAATTTTAAAAGTACAGAAAGAAATAAAAGTCAAAACTAAATATTATTGAAAAAAGTTTAAAAGCCAGGTTGGATGGTGATGTGTCTTTAGTCCCAGCACTTAGAAGGCTGAGGCACGAGGATCCCAAGAATTTAAGGCCAGCCTGGGCTACTTAGCAAGACTACATCTTGAAAGACTAAATTAAACCAAACAACAACAAAAAAATGGGGCGACCCTATTGCATGTGAAGTAGTATTTTATTGTGGTTTTAATTTGCACTTGTCCAATAACAAATGATGTTTTGTTTTGTTTTGTTCTGTTCTGAGACAGGGTTTTGCTGTATACGTCAGGCTGCCCTGGAACTAACTATAAAACCCAGGCTGGCCCAGAGCTTGTAGCAATCCTCCTGCCTCAGTGTCCCCAGGTGCTGGGATTACAGGTGTGCACCACCATGCCCAGCTACAAATGATGTTGAACATCTTTTCACGTGCTTATTGGCCATTAATACCTGACTGGAAAATGACTTTTGGTGGGGGGTAACTAGGGACTAAGCAAGGGGCCTGTACATGCCAGCTAAGCGCTTTATCATTATGCTAAAAACACCAACCCCTTAAAAATTTTTTTCTCATTACTATGGGCTGGCTTTGGACTTTGTAGCCCAGGCTGTCCTCGAATTTACAGCAATCCTTCTGCCTCAGCCTCCAGAGTGCTGGATTACAGGTGTGCGCTAACACGAGTCTTGCTAATTTACTCAGGCTGGCCTCTAACCTGTGTTCTGCCTCAGCCTCCCAAGTAACTAGAATCATACATGAGCCACTTGCTCAGTTTTTTTTTTTTTTTTTAAAGAGAGAGTCTCCATTTTGTCCAGGCTGGCCCTGAACTTCTGGCTGAAGTGATCCTTCCTCAGCCTCTCACGTAGCTGGGATTACAGGCAGGGTCCCTGGCTCTGCTTTAACTTTTTTTTAAGTGTGTGATCCTGGGGATTAAACCCAAGGCCTCATGGATGCTAAATACCTACTCTGCCACAGAGTTACACCCTCAGTCCCTTAACTATTTTTAACTTTAATAAACTATCAGTTTCTGTGTATCTATTTCTAAGTTCACTGGTTTATCGCTAGTAATCTTTAATATTTATATACAGTGGTACCTCGGTTTACAAACTTGTTTTCTGGGTGGGGGAAGATGGCCGTGGTCATGTCTGTCACCTGATGCAGAGTTTGTGAACAGAAGCAAAATTCTGAATACTTTTCTGAACCACATCTTTTGCAAAGAGAAGCGTTCATGAAACAAGGTGTTACTCTATTTCAAAGCACTTACATATACAGATTCATGAGTTATATCACCAAGTAGATTATGTCATAATCAAACACCTATGCTCTTTTTAAAGTGTATCAGTCCATGTTTGCCATACATAATGATCATACCTGTCATGCGGTACTGGTAATATATATAACACATCTTAATTCTTTTTTATCCATCTACTTCCCCTTCCCTATGAAATACCTATTTATGCCTTTTGTCTTTTAATGGTTTTGTCTTGACTTTTACTTTGCATTCCAAACCTATTATTTTATTTAATAGCAACTACCTCATTTCTTTCAAGTCTTCAATTACAAAATTTCAACAATTTTTTTTTTTTTCAACAAATTTTGGAAGGAGGTTGAGTGACCTACATGGATTTACTCAGTTGAACCGGAAGCCCTTCCATGTTTTCCAAGTCTAGACAAGTGGCTCTATCTCCTCGGGTTATGAATCACTAGGACAACCCTTACGTCCTTAGGAGCCATCGAGTCTACCTGTTTAGTGATGCTAGAGGGGCACTAGGAGGAATAAAGTCACGCCACCAATGACAACCTCATTCATGATTTCTCATAAGGTAGGGAAGAAATGATTCATAAACTGGGAAAAAAGGGGCAGAGGGGGCGGAGCTAAGCCTCAGGGTATCCACATGATTGGCTTGGAAGCTGCCCAGTGGGTTGGTAGAGCATCCTCAGTGTGTCTGGTCAGGACATGGAGGTGTGACCTTGGGCACTACATCCGGTCGGTCCCCTGCCCTCTCTCTTCCTGGCTGCCATGAACTAAATGGCTTCGCTCCCCTCGCCCTGCTGCCATGAAGTCTCTGCCTTGGAGACAGCCGGCCACAGAGCGCACCCACTTCAAACTGTGAGCCAGAGCAAACCCTCCTCCTCGCGCTGTCAGCGCCAGACGCTGCATCCGGCAATGCGAGAGCTGACTAATACGGGGGTTTCCTAGGCTCCACATTTTCAACCCTTCCAAAGAAAGTGGATGAGGCTACAGCGTTTTTAACTGGAATTTAAACCAAGAGGAAGAGGTATCCAGCTGGTTCATTTTGTGGAAATGGGAATTAACGCGAGTCTAGACCAAAGAAGATAAAAAGTGCTAATCTGTCAAAAGCGGTGGGGTAAAAAGCAGGCCAGGAATGAGACGTGGGAGCGGCTTTCTTTCCCTTCACATCTGTCTCAGACTCCCCACAGGGGTTTACCCCGAGCGGACGGGAAGCCCTCCTGATCAGAGGCCTAACGAGAACACACGGCGGAGGCTCAAGGGGCACTGCCCAATAGTGAGGTGGTCGTGCTCACTTACTTCTGTATATCTCCAGTGTTTCTCTGTTTGTTCTTATTTTTCTCTTGCAACTTGGTTGTGACGGGATCAGATTTTCTGGAATTTGAGGGAGAAGCCAAGACACTTTTCTCATGGAAATTATTCTTCAACCGCAAAAAAAAAGCATAAAAAGGGCAATGTTAAGGAATATTTTATGATAAAACAAGCTAATTACTGGACTAATCAATTCAGAATTTTTTAGGAATTGTATAGGATCCACCTGCTTCAGGCTCCTGGAGTGCTGGGATTACAGGTGTGCGCCACCACGTCTAGCAGGAAATGTATTTAAATGCTACACACACTTCAAAAAATACTGACCATGGAAAACTCAATATAGACAGCCCTCTAAACCCACGTGTTCTGTACCCATAGATTCAACCTCTTACCTCAGCCTCCTGGTGCTAGAATTACAGGCATGCACCACCATGCCTGGCAAAACTACACTATTTTTTTTTTAAGGGACTTTAGTATTCTCAGGTTTTCACATCTGGGGGAGGTCTTAGAACTAATTCCTGGCGGACACTGAGGGATGATTGTAAAAATGAAGTCCATTTACACTGGTCTAACTTTTAATATACATTATGAAGCACAATAATAGGCAGGCTAGCCAGGTGTGATAGGGTGTGCCTATAATCCCAGCCCTTGGGAGGCTGAGGCAGGACAACTGTCTTGAGTTCAGGCCAGCCTTGAAGGGCTGGGAAGTCTAGCTTAGCTGACAGAGCATTTACCAGGGGTCCTGGGTTCAACCTCTAGTACTAAAAATTTTAAAAAGAGTCTGTGCTTTAAGGGCATATCAATAAATACCACAAATACTTGCTGGAATCAGGAAGTTTTTACACTACTGGAAAAGTTTAGATGATTGTTCCGTCACCAGACTTTCATATTTAACCAAACTTTATTCTATAATTTCAATAAATCTGCTTTTATAATCCCATATGAAAACTGTGAGGATTAAACAACAGGCCTCTGAAAAACTGGCATCAATGACTCCGAATTCTCCTCTTCACTGTATTTTCTTCCCTATCCTACTACTTAATACCTTCTCTTCTTCAGTGCATTTTCTTCCCTATCCCACTTAATACCTTTTATTTCTAAATGTATTTTACTTAAATTGAGAAAAGATATATAGAAAGGGGCAAGCCGGGCCTGGTGCCACATGCCTGTAATGCCAGCACTCAGGAGGCTGAAGTTGGGACCCTAAGTTCAAGGCTGGTCTGGGCTACGTACTGCCTTCAAAGATCAGCCTGTACTACATAGTGAGATCCCGTCTCACAAAAAAGGGAGGGGGATATAATCCAAAATTTGTGTATATTTACTATGACAAGCTTTCCAAAATCAAAAAATTCCGTAATTCTAGGTCTCCCTCATTTGGGTAAGCATAACTTGAGATCTCTGTTGTCTAAATGCACAGAAACTGTACTGAAGGTCTGACACCCTCTGGAGATGGTACTCCCCAGACCCCAGGCCCAGGGATTTAGAGTTCAGCGCATTTAGATACATAGGAGGATTTGGATTTTCAAAGACTCTAAGGTGATCCCACCGGGCTCTTTTAAATCGCCAGATTCCACTGTATCCTTTTTTTTAAAATTAATGCAGACAGGGCCTATGTAGCCCAGGCTAGCCTCAAACTTGCAGCGATCCTTCTGCCTCAGCCTCCCGAGTGCTGGGATCACAGGTGTGCATCACCACACCCGGCTTCCTTTAGTCTTCAAGCATGTGTTTTATCATCCTGCCTTTTTCTCACAAGCAGCAATTTAATAACAACATAAAACAGTAAAATTCAAGTTTAATGTATTACTAAGAATTAGGCTGGGGGTGTAGCTCAGTGGTACAGTGCCTGCTTGCCTAGCACGTGTGAGTCCCTGGGTTTAATCCTCAGTACCAGGAAACACAAAACCAAAAAGAAAAAATAAAACACACACAAAAACACACAGTCAGGGCAAGAGGAATGCTCGTACTTCCAAGTGCTCTCCTCACACTCACAATATTAACGCTCAGCTTTCTTGCCAGCTCTTCATCGCTCTTCAGTTGTTCTTCCATCTCGCTTCGCCTCTTCTCTGCCCGTCTCCTTTCTTCCTCCTCTTCCTCCGCCAGCAGCCTCTGTATGTATTCTTCACTGGCTTTGTTCTCCTCTTCCTCACTGGCTCGTCGCTCAGCCTCCACCTTAAAAATGATTAACAAAGGGCGATCCTTCACTTCTTAATGTACTTACAACATTTCATAAGACGAATCGTAAAAGGGGTCAGGTGTGGTGGCACCAGCATCCCAGCACTCAGAAGGCTGAGGCAGGATGATCCGGTGCAAGGCCAGCCTGGGCTCCACAGTGATTTCAGGGCTGGCCTGGACTACGTAATGACAACATCTCAAAAAACCAAAAAAGAGAATGAAAAAAGTGAAGGAAAGCCAGAACAAGTTGGCCAAGAGTTAAAAGTACAAATCCAGACAGGAAAATGCACGCAGTAGTTCCAGAGGGCTCTCAGATCCCAGTACCGTACTCTGGAGGCTGAAGCAGGAGAACTGCTGAGAGTTCAAAGCCAGCCTGAGCTACATAGAGACCTTGTCTCAGAAAAGCACACAAGCAAACAACAACCCCCCGCAACAAAGCCAAACCCAGGGCTCCTAGGAAGCCTTCCGCAGCAGCCTGCAGGGCCCGCCGAAGCCCACACCGCCCCAGTCTGGCACAGCGGCGGCCGCGCCGTGCAGGTCTCCCTTCGTGACGCAGAGCTGCCCTCCTGAACCTGACCCTGGCAAGGAGGAGGGAAGATAAACCTGACCCAGGGGGAGAGGGCCTTTCTGTGACACTCCGACCGAGCCCCAGCACAGCGGCCAGGAACGAAACAGATGCTGCCAACCGCTGCCTGCGTACAGGGGCGGAGGGAAACGCACGGGGAAGCTGAGTACGAGGAAATGTGTGGTCACGCACCCATTCTTCATCTACCTTGTGTGGAAGAAATAAGGCAAGAACCACTTTAGCAATGGGAAGGGTTGGATTCCAGAGTAAGCTCTTCAATTCCAGTGAATGAGAAATTAGCTGCATGTGGTGGCACATGCCTGTACTTGGGAGGCTGAGGCAGATTTGTCCTGAGTTGGAGGCATATAATGAGTTCAAGGCCAGCCTGCACTACAAAGTGAGACCCTGCCAAGAAAGAAAAGGAAGGAAGGAAAGAAGAAGGGCAGGGAGGACAGAAGAGGAGAGGAGAGAAGGGGAGGCAGGGAGGGAGGGAGACTAAGGAAGACCAGGAAGAGTTTGCTGAAGAACTTCTGTGTTAAGTGGAGCAGGGTGGCGCACCCCTGCAATCCCAGCACTCTGGAGGGTGGAGGCAGGACTGCAAGTTTAAGGACAGCCTGGGCGATTTAATGAGGTCTTTTCTCAAAATAAAATATGAAAAAAGTGCTAGAGATGTAGCTCAGTATGAAGGCCCTGGGTTCAATTCTCAGAGTAACAATAAAACCTATGTGTGTTTAATTCTCTTGCTTGTAAAGGATAGCCACAGAAGACAGTGCTTTTTCTTCTGGATGGTTTTGGTTTGTTTTGGTTTTTTGGACAGTCTTGCTATGTAGTTCAGGCTGGGCTTCAACTCACTGTGGAGCCCAGGCTGGCCTCAAACCCTTGGCGATCCTCCTGCCTCGGCCTCCAAGTGCTGGATTACAGACCTGCACCACCAGGCTGGCTCCCTCTGCATGTTGGCATGCATACAAGCTGAGGTTCATCCAGCCCAAGGTTTTTTTTTGCTTGTAGTCTAACGCATCCTATAGACTATTCTCACTGTATGGTAATAAGGATTTTTTGTTTTGTTTTGTTTTGGTACCGGGAATTGAACTCAAGACCTTGCACTTGCCAGGCAGGCACTTATGCCACTGAGCTATATTCTAGCCCGGTAATAAGGATTAAATATAATCCTTTAAAACACTCACTCAGGGTTTTATACTGCTTGGACAACATGTTACAATTACGTCCTCTAACAACAGTCTACTAAATCTTCCAGGTTTGCACCTTCCAGTACAGCAACCAGGAGCTACTTGTAGCTACTGAACATTTAAAATGTAACTAGTCCAAATGGAGACTTTCTTGGTGGTGGTACTGGTAGTGCTCCACCACCGAGCTACAGAGCTAGCTCTTTTAACTTTTCATTTAGACAAAAAAAAATCACTAAATTGCTCAAGCTAGGCTCAAACTTGCTATCTTCCTGGCTTAGCCTTCTGAGTACTGGGGATGACAGGCAAGTACCACTACAACCAGCCAAAATGAGACACATTTTAAGTACAAAATAAGATATAGGAGGTATGATTAAAAATGCTGATGGGCTGGGGATATAGCTCAGCAGCACAAGCACCTGCCTGGCAAGTGCAAGGTCCAGAATTCGACTCCTAGCACCAAAAAAAAAAA